CGAGTCCATGGATAGTGTTGTATGGTACGATAGACCGCAGTGCATTCATAACGACCGTGTCCTTGCCACTCGACGCCTTTCACAACCTGATCCACGAGTTTTCCAAGCACTTCACCTGGAAGGCCGGGATTTTCAAGTCAGGACGCCCCCCCAAACTGCCACACAGGCACCAGGGTGCGCATTTTTTTCGAGCAAATGATGGAGCATTTCCGAGCACGCCTGAGAATGGATCGATTTCGAGCAAAATAGTCCAGAGAGACACTTTCCGAGCGCACTTAATAGCACAAGAACATGTGTTAGTCATTGGCGAATTTCCGAGCAAATAATATCATATGGAAATTAAAATGCCAATGCTGAGTACTGTAAAGTGGTGCTGTTAGTGAAACTTACTCCGAAGTGTTAAATACTTGATATTATCCGTGGGGATATACCCATTTATCCCACTGCATCCCAAACAATAATTGTTGACTTCATCATGGTCACTAGCCCCAGAATTCTTTCACCAGAACCGTACCCTTTCCCCCACGGAGACTACGTCTCCACCCCGGATAACGTACGTGTAATGCGCAAACCCCTTGTGGACTGTGTGTTGTGTATCCAAAATTGAATCGAAAGGCATCAATTGTCCCAGTTTATCCCACTTGGGAATATATCTTCTCTATCAATCCAGTTTGTCCCAGTGTAAACTGAGGGATGTTACATTAGGTAATTGATATCCGTAATGCTCTAAAACAATCCACTCCATCACAGCTTATGCTCGAAAAGACTGCAACAATCTAAGTACGCTCTAAAATGCTCCATCCCAAAGCCTCGCTCGGAAATAATCCATCGTTTGCTCGAAAATAATCTTTTCCCCAGGCACCAAGCACCATCCACCAAAACGTGTTTTAGTGAATATGGAAATAGGGATCACGTTCCTAGGCAGTTCCAACCTAGAGTTGTTGGGCTACGACCAGGGTCGGGGGAATATTCTTGATGTAATGCGAGTAGTACTTTGGTGTAAGCTGACCTTCGGCGTCGACGATGCGCAGCATGTTGTACGGAGTGGCCTCTCGCGTCAGCACTGTGGAGGCTCGAACGAGGACGTCGGGGTCGCTTGTCTTGAGCAGGTCAAACGTTGCAACGAACCCTGGCACGACCAGTGTCAATCCCATCAGCAGGGGCGGCAAATGCAGTTCCGGTGTGATGCGGTACGCTGTGTTGTTGGTGGCTGTAACGCGATACGTCACGCCCGCGTGGCGAAGGAACGAGTGGAGGCCACCGACGTCGGAGAACGCTGCACCCCGGCCTTCGTACGTCGTGAACGTGTACGCGTCGTGTTCGACGATCTGTTGGATGTTTGCAAACGAGCTCAGCTTGGTGGACGCGTGGTCGTTGCCATGCAAATACCAAATCCCCCCCAGATCGGGTACGAGGGCAAACGGCATGTTCGCCGCGCTTCCCCTGTCCAGGTGCGACTGGAACTTGACTGAAGGAAACGAATGGATGTGGAAGTCGCGGCAGTCGCGGGCGTGATACTGCAACGAGTGGGGCCATGGACAGAAGAGCTGGGTCATGCCCCCGAACCATGTTGCCCACGTTGTCAACAACGAGGTAACCATGCTTGAGCAATTAATGTTGAGCAATGGGGGGAAAGGCAAACTGTCATCATCGACTTTGACCAAACAGATGGAAACTCGCTCTCGCCGCTTCATCGAGGGTGGGCGTTTCCTCATACAGTTAGTTGCATATATAAATATGATATACGCAAGCCCTTATAAATACTGGTACATGGCGAAACCTTCTATGATTGGCAATGCATTTGTATACGTATATCTATCATATCCCTTGACGGGAGATGGGTGCGTGCATGCTACCGGTACCGGTAGTAGTAGTACAGTAAGCAGCAACCTTCTTTAGGCCGGGTCTGATGTCACAAAAAATGGCATAAAATGGCCGTTTTTCCAAGAAAAGGTGCCAAAATCGAACTACCCTGGGACAAGTTCGTCACTCCCGACAACAAACACTTACTTGGTGTTGGCGGACGCGCTGGACTTTTTGGACGGACTGCTCAAGTTTGACCACCAGGAACGGCTGACGGCCAAGGAGGCGATGGCCCATCCGTACTTTCAAAGCGTGCGCGACTACCATGAGAGCAAGAAGCAACCCGACTACACGTCCAGCCCGTCCGACGCCAGCTCATAAACAAGACAAATATCCATGCAGACTTTCCCTTATCCCTGCCTCCATGCATGTGCTTGTGCTTAGATCATGGTTTTCTTCCAAGCGTTAAGGCAGCTATAGCTTTCTTTCTCTTTTGTATGTCCATGCTAAGGCATATATTACCTCGAAATATCGATTGTACTTGCACGTTGATACATATGTATGATTGTAGTCCATCCAGGGATGCTGTTGGAACAATATTTTATTATACTGTGAAGTACAAGGTTTTATAGTTTGGCGATGCCAGCTGCTGCCACCACCACTTCAATAGAGGGAGTCAATTTAGGAATTTTCTGACTGCTTTTGCTTTTCAGGGATCAGGCTTGTGATTTGGATTATTATAGCACTAGATGGTTTTGGGAAATGCAAAATGTGAGGAACACTTTTTTGAGAGAAATGCCCAAAAATATCCCCTCAAGCGTAATAAGTCAGGTAGTCACCATTTATGTAATATTAAAGGTTTTGCATTGGCAGAACCCCGAAACCCCGAGCGCAGTACCACCTGCGCCAGGATCGAACGCCGCTGCACGCACGACCTCGATACGTGCATGCAGCGGCAGTCGATACAGGGCACACTTTATCCACCGCCAAAGTAAACGTGTCCCCTCTGAACCTCCTGATCCGTATCAACCACACAAAGTGCCACAACCAAACAAGACATTATCGTTATCGACGGTGCCATCCGCGGTAGACGTCATGAATCGCTCCAGGACACGGTATACCTACGCTATCGACTGCCGCATCTCACATGCAAATAGTATCAGGCCGTGTCCCATGAAATGACGCTGCCGTCGACCGCCACGCCATGAACCCATGCAATCGACCTCTGTTGGTACCTGCAGCATCGACGAAAAAGGAACCAGCACAATCGACAATGGCAAGTAATGGACGACGAATACGTATTTAGTATAACTTAATACAGACGCTACAAATATCAAAAGTGCAGCCGATGATGACTTACCACGCAACATTCGTCACGAAGGGCGCCACAGTAATACCATTTTTTGCCGCAGACACCAGAGACAGCCCAAAGGCACCCGCCTCCCTTGAAACGCCAGAGAACACAGTAGGGCGCATACCATTATACCGGGTTGACGGTGTTTGCATCGATCGTTGGAGTAGTGTTTATGGTGCGTGCTCTTCGGTAGGGCAAACACAACCGACACGACTCCAACGAACGCTGCAAACACCATCGAGAACTTGAGCTTCTGCTGATCCGCAAGTCGTCTCGGTTGCGTATATCCTTCGGTCAACGGAGTCTCACCACAGGGCGTACGCCACCAAGAACGATGTCACCCAAGCAGCATTTACCATCGACAGCCTAGAATCTGTTCATGTTGTGGTCGTTGGTGGTTGGTGTGATGTTCGGCGTTTAGTGGAATATCCGCCGGCGTTTTCAGCGTGCTGTGGTTGCATTCTCAGTGACAGACGCTCTGCGGTGAGACTATGTTTAATACTGAAGGACACACACGACTGAGATGACGCAATGGACCGCCAAAAATGACTCGTTCAGGACCGCTGCAGTCGCCAGGGAAAGCTTCAATGTATTGCCTTGTAACTGGGTACCCTACATGACTCCCCAAACCAGTATCCCGCCGCAATCACAATTGATACGTTTGGCGGGATCTATTTCATTTTTTAGTAGTGCTTGTGGTGGGTCTTGTGGGAAGATCCACGACATGACCCACCGCAATCTACCACCGGCAAGTCCCCCCGCAAGCCCACTAGGATGGTCAGAGTCCACACGACGAACCGAAAGACCACCAACAGGACAAGACCCACAAAAAGACCATTGACAAAACCAAGAGTCGTAGCTAGCAACGGTGGGAGTTCCCCGTGGTGGCCTTGTTGGTGTATGCGTCAGACGTCAGAGCAGCTTCAACTGCACTCACGCACACACCAACAAAGCCACCACCGATGTCAGTGAAGCGCGGTGTTTCCTGGAAGTACTGGGGTCACTGATGAACTCGCAGAGCTTCTAGCAATCACAGGGCTTGTTTTGTCTCCCGCTTCTTCTTGACTTTCGGCCACGGGACCTTCGTCAAGGCAGCAAATATACACACTGGCATTAGTGAGGTTAAACACGCCACGAGGCGCCTACTGACTACCACTCACTTAAGTACTCAGTACCTCCACTAAGATATCGGAACTTTTGACACGCCACACACACTGAGTGTGTGTGTTTGCAATGGGTCAAACTAACGCGCGACCCAATTGCTCTGCACGCTGCAGAACACTTCCCCTCCTACGGAAAGTCGTGTCTTGATGAGGGCGGTCACGGCAGGGTCTTCCTTGTTCGCCGCCGCCCACTTGCGAAATACGACTGGAATGTCGTCCAGCAAATTCGCCGCAGGTTCCCAGGACGATTCTTCATCGTCAAGTCCAAGCCACTTCACCAAAACTTGGTGTTGGCCATCCACGCAGCGCGCTTCGTCCAGGCGCTCCACATGAAATCCGCCATCGCCAAACGCGATCTGCGCCTCGAT